CGTTGTGGTGGTGGTGGTCGTTTGTTGTGTTCGTCATGATGGTGGTGGTCGTGGTGGTGAAGTAGTGGCGATGATTATATGACAAAGACGGTGCTGTGACAAGTGGATGAAGCAAAATTAAATTAATTCAGAGCATGTTTCAACCATCACTCGAGACCAACTGCAACCATCACTCGAGACCAACTGCAACCATCACTCGAGACCAACTGCAACCATCACTCGAGACCAACTGCAACCATCACTTCAGACCAACTGCAACCATCACTCCAGACCAACTGCAACCATCACTTCAGACCAACTGCAACCATCACTCCAGACCAACTGCAACCATCACTCCAGACCAACTGCAACCATCACTCCAGACCAACTGCAACCCTCCCCCCAGACCAACTGCAACCATTTCTCCAGACCAACTGACCCTGAGCCACTGCTTCTCGGTGAGTGTGTCCGAGTAGTCGACCTCCTTCCTCTTCCTCTTGTCCCCAGGTTGGATCTTTTCCTCCTCCAGGTAGGTCAGTCGTTCCATCTGGTGTGGTGTGTGGTGTGGTTTGTGGTGTGGTGTGTGGTATGGTGTGGTGCTGGGAGGACGACGACGATCCCATGAAAAAGTTATCAGCCACATAGTCATTCAGTTAAATAATGTAAAATTTTCATCCAACTATTTCACAGACACTGCTGGCAAATAATTTTCATTCACCAACCAACATCTGAAACCAAAATGACATATGAAACGTCATCATACCCCTTCCACGCAACTTCAAACTGGTCGCGAGACCGTTTGAGACCTCCAGCTTTGTAAATGGACCCAGCTGACCCGCTCAAACAAACGACCATTTGAGAACAAACAAACAAACCTACCAACCGACTGACCAACCAACCAATCACCAGCAAATCAGCCAACCAACCATCAACCAATCAACCAACCAATCACCAGCAAACTAACCAATCAGCCAACCAATCATCAGCAAACCAACCAATCAGCCAACCAATCACAAACCTCCTTCTCGTCCCTGAGGAGCCAGCTGGGCAGTTCGCTTTCTTCCATCAATCGTGGCTTTCTTTTCGGGTCTCGTGATTCGTTTCGGCGTCTGTCCAGGTCCATTTGCTGGAGGGGGTGGTCGGGTCATATTACGTCACAACATTATAATTATCATCCCACCACCGCAACGTAACATCCTCACTTCACAACTACTATCATCATCATATGATCATCATCATCATCATCTTCTCCTTAATCATAACCATAACCATCATTGATACCATGGTTGAATGATTGACTGATCTATTGATTGAGTGATATACCTCCATCATGACATTACCATTAAAACATCACAATCCCATCATCGTCATCACATGATCATCATCACGTGACCATCATCACATGACCATCATCATCAACATCGTCACCGTTGAGATTAGTGATCATCAATATCATCAATATCATCATCATCACCACCAACTAAAAAACATCATCATCAGCAATAACAACATCATCACCAACATGATCATCATCATCAACATCAACATCATCGTCATCATCATTATACCTGAAATATTTCAAACTCGGCTTCAGTCCTGGCAAGCATCTGATTGATCGTCTCGTCGTCAGGCACCTCATTCTCCTCCTGTCAATCAATCAATCAATCAATCAATCAATCAATCGATCGATCGATCGATCGATCGATCGATCGATCGATCGATCGATCGATCGATCAACCAACCAACCAACCAATCAATCAATCAATCAATCAATCAATCAATCAATCAATCAATCAATCAATCAATCAATCAATCAATCAATCAATCAATCAATCAATCAATCAATCAATCAATCAATCAATCAACCAACCAATCAATCAATCAATCAATCAATCAACCAACCAATCAATCGATCAATCGATCAATCAACCAACCAACCAATCAATCAATCAATAAATCAATCAATCAACCAATCAATCAACAAACCAACCAATCAATCAATGTCAATCAATCAGTTGATTGATTAGTTAGTTGGTTGGTGGGTTGATTGGTTGGTTGGTGGTGATTAATTGGTAAGTTGATTGATGGCAATTTAATGAAAGGTGTTACTCAATTAAGCTTGGGTGGTTTAAAAAACTGACTGATTAAATGATTGGATGATTTGAAGATTTAATAATTGGTTAATTAGCCGGACTAATGAACAAACGAACGAATGAACGAACGAACGAACGAATGAATGAATGAATGAATGAATGAATGAATGAATGAATGAACGAATGAATGAAGGAACGAATGAACGAACGAATGAACGAACGAATGAACGAATGAATGAATGAACGAACGAACGGACGAATGAATGAAGAGCTGCATGATGGATTAGTAGGATAATTGCGTGACTGATTAGATGAGGATTGAAAGGTTGGAGGAGTGCTGAACAGGCGGGGATGAACAAGTAACTAACCTCCTCTTCTTCATTCTCCTGCTGCAAAATGGCTTGCAAGAACTGCTGCCTCTCCTGACCTGTCGATTTCTGATCGAACATACCTGGTAGTGGTGGTAGTAGTGGTGATGGTAGTGGTGGTAGTTGTGGTGGTAGTAGTGGTGGTGATGGTGGTAGTGGTCGTGGCGTTGGTGGTCGCGGGCTTGGTGTAGGTTGTGGTGGCCAACAGACATAAACCCATGCACAAACACAAAAAAACAGAGACACACACAGACACACACAGACAGAGACACATACACACAGACAGACACACACTTACAAACAGAGACACAAAGAAAAAAGAGCAGGCAGCTACTGACCAGCTTGAATGACCTTCTCGTCGACGTTGAGTTTGTAGCGGGCAGCGGCGAGGATCCTCTCCTCTACCGAGTTGACGGTCATCAGCCGAAGGACACGGACCTCGTTCTTCTGTCCAATCCTGTGGGCACGATCCTGGGCTTGCAAGTCCTGTGGTGTGGTGGAGTGAAGTTGAGTGAGGTGGAGTGAGGTGGAGTGAGGTAGAGTGAGGTGGCTGGGGTGGATTGAAGGAGGGTGGACGTTGATCAATTAGTTGATCATCAAGTTGATCCATCATCAGTTAATCAATTGTGGATGAAGAGAACAGGTGAACCAATCACAAATCGATCGATCAAATAATAAATGAATAAGCCAGCATGCACCAATCAACTATTCAATCAATCAATCCCCGAATAACCAACCAATGGAACAAACCTGGTGGGGGTTCCAATCTGAATCGAATATGATGACCGTATCAGCAGTCTGGAGGTTGAGCCCCAGACCACCGGCCCTCGTGCTCAGGATGAAGAGGAACACCTCGGACTCTGGATTGTTGAAGATGCTCAATAGCTGACCACGATCCTCACTCTTCGTCGTGCCGTCCAGACGCAGGTACTTGTAGCCTGTGGTGGTGGAGGTGGTGAGGGTGGTGGTGGTGGTGAGGAGGAGGATGACGTAATGGTGGAAAGGATGATAGTGCGTTACCGTGATCGTATTGGTGTGGTGACGATGAAACGGTATGGTATAAGAATTCAAGGTCAGTGGTCGAAACAATTGAATAATTTAAACAATGCGGACAGTTGGGCAGTGAGAGAGGTAGAGACCAGCAGATGAAAAATAGATAGGCACACGGATAGATAGGCAGATGCAGACAGACAAACAAATGGACTGACGAACAAATCAAACTGACGCACAAACACACAGGCAGTCAGTTAGATAGGCTTATGTAAAAACTGACAAACAGACAGACAGACAGATAGACAACCAGATAGACAAACAAACAGACAGACAAACAGATAGACAAACAGATAGACAAACAGACAGTCAAACAGATAGACAGACAGATAGACAAACAGATAGACAAACAGATAGACAAACAGACAGACAAACAGATAGACAAACAGATAGAAAAAACAGACAAACAAACAAACAGACAGACAAACAAACAGACAGACACTGACCTCTGAACAGCAGATAGTCTTCCATGATGGTCATGAGTGAGGTCATCTGGCAGAAGAGCAGGCATTTGTGACCGGTGGCCTTCAATTTTGGCAGCATGCGATCCAACAATTCAAACTTCCCACTTGCTCTGTACAGGTCGGCACTGATAGTGGTTGTGGTAGTTGATGGTGGTTGTGGTAGTTGTGGTGGTTGTTGCAGCTGTGGTGGTTATTGCAGCTGTGGTGGTTGTGGTGGTTAATGGTGGTTGAAGTACATGTAATGGTTAAGTTGTTAGTGGAAACTGATGGTTATAAGGGATAATGAAAACTAAGGAATGATGAACACAAAGAGAACAATCATTAAGACAAGTTAATAATGAAGGTGACTCCAGATGTCTTATGTCTCCAGATGATCACAAACTGAAACGAACACACACACACACACACACACACACACACACACACACACACACACACACACACACACAAGAATCTGCATCTTCCCATAAAAAATAATAATCCAGTGTCCTTTAACACTGAATTCAGCTTCCTCCCTAGTTTAATTACACCCTCCACCCACAACTATTTCAGCACATCCCTAAAAGGCACATCCCTTCCAGCCCAATCACAACCCAACCCCCACCTCGACACTAACTCAGCACTGACTCCATGCTGCTTAACAAAGGCCTCTTCGATCTGCTGGAAGATGAATGGATGATTGCAGATCTTTCGAAGTTGCATGATCGTGTTCATGAGGATCTTACTGCCCCCCTTGCCCTGTGTAAGTCAAGGTCACCGGGTTCAAAGGTTAGAGGAAGTGAAAATCAATCATCATCAGCCAACGTCGCAATCAATCAATCAATCATCCACCAGCCATCGATCAATCAATCAATCAATCAATCAATCAATCAATCAATCAATCTATCTATCTATCTATCAACCAATCAACGATCAACCAAACCAATCAGCCATCAAGAACGTATGCACGTATACACACACACACACACACACACACACACACACACACACACACACACACACAAGAACCGACATGTTTCCCTTTCTCGGAGCCATCAGTCAGCAGGACCCCCTTGGTCTGCATGTGTCTGTAGAGGAGTCTCTGGAGGGCCGACATGTCGCATTTGATCACGTACTCTACCTGCATGGTGGTGGTAGTGATGAAGGTGGAAATGGTGGTGGTGGTGAGGAGGAGAGGAGGATGCGAGGGGGATAGAGAGGAAGATGTTAATGAGGGGAGATGACGATAACGGTGATGATGATGATGAATGAAGATGAGTGAAGAGTTGTGTTGTGGCTGTCAGTTGCTAAGGATTTCTTCCCATAACAAATAATAATAATAATTGGTTAAATAACAATTTGTCTAAATCGTGATTTGTAATTTGCTGCGAACGAAAGCTTAGATAAATTAGACTATGCTATAGTCGGGGTGATGACGATGGTGATGACAATGATGACGATGGTGAAGATGGTGATGATGACGATGGTGATGATGATGATGGTGAAGATGATAAAGATGATGATGATGACGACGACGACGATGATGATTACAATGAAATGAAGTGGGTGAACGACAGTCCTGTCTTTTTGTATTGTGGTTGTTTTTGTTAACAGAGTTAGCCAAAATATTTTTTCAAATGCCAATCTGCACACAAAGTGCAAGCGTGTTCTTTCAATTTCGTTTCAAGAACACCTTGCAGATGGATAAATGGAAAAGTATTTCGACCAGCTCCGTTAGCAAACAAACAACCAAACAGAAAAACACACGGTAGTCATCCAAGATGAAATCTCAATTGAGTGAACTACCTTCCACATTAGGCTAGAAAATCCAGCAAACATTAGAAACACAAATCAATCAAAACTATTAAACAGCTCTCTACATCAAACACACACACATGCACACACACATACTTATACACACACATCAATCATTCAGACAAACAGATAGACATACAGACAGACAGACAGACAGACCTTATCTGGCAGTTGAGATTCCACCTCCTTCTTCAGTCTCCTCAATAGAAAGGGTCGAAGAACTTTGTGCAGACGTCTGATGATCAGCAGGGTCTCCTCGTTGTTCAACTCCACCTGGCGAATGAGGGATTGGATCGGTGAGGTTAAGGTCAATGTCAAGGTCAAAAGAGGTGAGGTCAAGTTCATTGTCATGTATCTTCCAGCAGGCATTAATTATCTAATGACCACGCACCTTCTCCCCGGTCATTGCGAACGGGGCGTTGAACCACTGCTCGAAGTTGGCACACGACTTGAAGATGCTCGGCAGGAGGAAGTTCAGGAGGGCCCACAGTTCCGGCAGCTTATTCTGGTGTGGGGATGATGATGATGATGATAATGATGATGATAATGATGATGATAGCAGTGATGTGATAACAATGGGACGGTGATTACGATGATGGTGGGGTAATGGGGTGAGAATGACAGTCGGTAGTGACATCTGCTGACCTGCAGAGGGGTTCCAGTGAGGAGCAGTCTGTGGGGTGCAGTGTAGTAGGTGTTGAGTACCTGGGTCAGTTTGCAGTGGTGGTTCTTCATGCGGTGGCCCTCGTCTATTATCATGTACCTCCAACGAATCTTCCGGTTGTCATCAAAATTATTTTCATTCAATTAATTTCAAGTCATTGTCACCATTATTATTATTATCATCATCATCATTATCATCAAAATTATCCTCATCATCATCAGTAACCCATTATTATTAATATCATCCTCATCATCATCAGTAACCCATTATTATTAATATCATCCTCATCATCGTCAATCATCATCATCATCAATGAAACCAACGTCACCATCACCACCGATCAGCCTCCTCATCGCTTACACAAAACCCAAATGACCTTAGCTAAGTTGGCCTTGTCCTTTATGACATACTCGTACGTCGTCAGTAGTACGTTGAATTTGCCTGTGTGGTGATGATGATGATAGTGGTGGTGATGGTAATGATGATGATGGTGATGATGATGATAGCGATCGTGACGACATTGCAGCAGTTATAAAAATTATATCGGTAGTAATAGTTGCTTGTAATTAAAACACATCCACATTAACAAAATTCTTATCCTAAAAATTTACGCTCTCCCCCATCTTTTCCACCACCACCACCTCGGGCGGCCTGATGGTCTAGTGGTTAAGGTCGCCTGGAGCTGTTTCGCAGTAACCGGGTTCGAATATGACAAAAAGATCCCCGCCTACTGCACGCTTCGTGCGTGATGAGTCGTTTAGCACGTATTCATATACGATGTTTGTGACGTATTGTTGAATCCTCAGAACTTTGGAAGAGTGTAAAGTGTATATTATTATTAGGTCCGACCCACAACTGATGGAGACTATAAGCGAGGATTGATTTGATCATTGTATTATTAATTCATTTACACGCATTTCTTTTCACTCCATTTCTCGCGCCTATATTTTGTTCAATAAATTTTTCAAAAAAATTTTTTGACAAATCGTTCAAGCAAGGGCGGCTCGTCAGCAATAGCAGACCCCAAAACAACATCACACAGCAGAAAAGATTCTGACCACTCCTGAGGAGGGGCTGGCAGTTCTTCCTCATGTTGGGCGAGCCCTTGTAGGCTATCTTGATGACCGATGGGGCCCACTTGTCGAACTCCAGCATCCAGTTGGAAATCGTGCTGCAGTGGTGGTAGTGATGATGGTGGTGGCAATGATGGTGATGATGACGATGGTAAAATTGGTGAAGACAATAATGATGATGGTGGTGAAAATGGTGATGATCATAATGGTAAAAATGGTGATGAAAATGACGATGATAGTTAGAAAAAATTGAGACAATCAATGATGGTTTCTGAGTATGATGGAAATGCCCACAGCAGGGATAACGACAGCACGCCAGCACTCAAATGACGTAGCAGTGACGTAATCAGATGGCAATGGCAGCAAACCAGACTTATTTTTTCACGAGGCAACGAACACCAACTCCCTCATAAACTGAAACAAGACCCTATTGTTGTCAGTGCAAACTCGCTTTCAATGAATTTTTGACAAGCAGAGTCCGAACAACCACGTTCAAAACATTAGATCCAGAACTGAAACACCCAGGTGTGTTGATGGCGAATGGAGATTATTAAGTAAAACTCACGAAAGGGGCACAATGATGAGGAATGGTCCATTCACCCTCCTCCTCTCCATCAGGTGGGTGATGAGTCCGATCGTCTGAATGGTCTTCCCTAGACCCATCTCGTCAGCCAGGATGCCGTTGAGGTTGTTGTTGTAGAGGGAAACCATCCATTCCAGACCTTTCATCTGCCGGTGGTGGTGGTGGTAGTTGTAATAGGTGGTGGTGGTAGGTGGTGGTGGTGGTAAGTGGATGATGACGTTTCATCAATCTACCCACTAACTCATCCGTGAGTCAATTCATCAGTTGATCCCTCCATTCATCAACAATCCATCAGTCCATCCATCAATCTATACATTCTCAATTTTTCAGTCTATTCCTCAGTTGATATATCCATCCATCCATTCATCCATTTATCCACGAGTCCCCACACACTCACTCACTCACTCACTCATTCACACTCACTCACTCACACACTCATTCACTCACTCACTCACTCACACACTCACTCACTCACACACTCACTTACTCACTCACTCATTCACCTGATAGGCCTTCAGCTGACCGCCAACCAGCATGGCGGGTTGGTCGGTGATGGCCTCCATGCTGCTGTGTGCAATGTTGTAGTAGGTCTGCTGGCTGGCTTTGTACTCGTCGTCCTCATTCGAGACTGCCTTCCTGATCGGTGAGATGGTGATGAGAGTGAGGGTGATGTAGGTGATGATGGTGGTGGTGATGAGAGTGGTTATGTAGATGATGGTGGTGGTGATAAAGGTGGTGGTGATGAAGGTGGTTAGAAGATGATGGTGGTGGTGATGAAGGTGGCTGTGTAGATGATGGTGGTGGTGATAAAGATGGTTATGTAGATGATGATGAGGTAATGGTGAATGAATGAATGAATGAATGAATGAATGAATGAATGAATGAATGAATGAATGAATGAATGAATGAATGAATGAATGAATGATAGAAAAAAATGACCGACTTGACCGCAACTTGGATTTGTTTCTCGGATATCTCATCATCATCACCTCTGTCGTCCTCCGAGTCTGACTGCAATATCCAATCAATCAATCAATAAATCAATCAATCAATAAATCAATAAATCAATCAATCAATCAATCAATCAATCAATCAATCAATCAACCAACCAACCAATCAACCAATCAGTCAACCAATCAGCCAACAGTTTCAAAACACAAACATTGAACACACCGACTAACATCATCATCACAACTGTCTTCTGAGTCATCCCTGGGTGCTACTTGGAACCTTTTTCATAATAGTAATAATAATAATAACAATAATAATAATAATAATAATAATAATAATAATAATAATAAACAAATAAACAAACTTTTGTGTATGCAAAAAAGAAAAAAATTTAAAAAACCCCAAAAAAAACATATAGTAAGAAGCATGGACAATCACACAAACGTGAAAACACACACGTGCTAACAAACAAACACACAGGCACACACACACAAGCAGACACTCACACGCATGAATAAACATACTGACAAATATACAAAAATACATATAACAAACAGTCAAACAACCAAACAGACAAACAAACCAATATAAGACAAACAAACATTGACAGACAGACAAACAGACAGACAGACAAACAGATAGACAGACACGTACCCAGGATTCATCTCGAGCCAGGCATCCAGCTGGCTGGCAAGTGGAGCATCGTCACCGGCCAACAGACGACCAGTCGAAGTTTCGATCACATGCACCCTCGTGTCGCTCGTGGGGTTTGACGTCTCGTCCTGGGGCTGCTGTTGCTGGGGAGTGGTAAAAAAATGATTGATTAGTGATAAAAGATTTAGGAATAAAAACTAAGTGACGTCACTCATAGCATCAATAACTACAAATAACAATATTTATAGTGATAAAAAAAAATAATGATTATGAAGCTCAGGAAAAAAAAGTAATGCTGGTCATCAAGTTAATGATGCTGATGATGATGATGATGACAGCAATATACACAACGACAAACATAAATAATGACAACGAATAATAGAAGAAGATTTCAGGAAAGGACACATTACAGCGAGTTATGACACTCGCAACATCAAATCCCATCCTTTGATCCATTCCTGCACCAATCACATCATCATCCAACAACATCCATCCACATCAACAAACCACCACCACCTTGTTATCTGCCTCCTTGGTCTTTGAAGCCTTCGCCACCTTAGCGGCAGAAGTAGTGGCTGCTGTTGGCTCGGTTGTTGCGGCAGAGGAGTCCTTAGCACTACCACTACCAACTAATCCCTCCTTTTCAACTTTCTCTCCATCCCTCTCTTCTTCTCCCCCCTTATCATCTTTCTTCTTCGCCTCCACTTCCGGGCAGGTTATCTTGGCATCGCAACTGCCCTCGTCCACCACTTCTTTGCTGGCGTCAGAAGCAGCGACAGAAGCAGCGACATCACCGTTTGTTGAGGAAGCTGCGGTTGCAGCAGCTGCTCCATCAGCTGCAGCTGCTGCCAGTGCCGCCATTTTCTCTTGTTTTTTTTGTTTCTTGAGTTGTTTCTGTTTGCGCTTCGCTTCCAGTTTGTGCTGTGCAACCAGACGAGTGAGGTTCGAGACATACTCGTCTGTCTGCGAAAGGAGGAAGGCCAGACGTTTGTCCTTCTTCTGATCAATCAAGTTCCTGTAGCCCTCTTCATCTTCTGCCTGTTGTGTGAGATGTTTATAATGGGTCACGTGACATGAGTTTCTTTGCAACGTGTGTGTGTGTGTTTGTGCGTGCGTGTGTTTGTAGAAAATTAATTTGAAGTAAAATCGCCACAGCCACCATCAACCACTCCACTCACCATCAGCCTCCTCATCCTCTCCTTCTCAATCCTCTCCTGCTCCTTCTTCTGCTCCCTCTCCGTGTTCATGTGGTAGACCATGACTGCCTTGTTCAGTTTTACAACCTTCGCCGAGACCGTTCTATGGAACTCTTTGAAGTCACGTGCATGTTGCAAGATGGCGTTCAAATATTCCTGTGTGTGTGTGTGTGTGTGTGTGTGCGTGTGTGTGTGTGTGTGTACGTGTTCGTTTGCATTGTTGCTGTCTGTTGCTTGGGTCATGTCACTGATGATGTCTTGGTTTTGTCAACCTTCATGACTGCCACATCGACAACACCGCAACCACATCACAACCCATCACATCACCATCCACCACCCACCACAACCGCATCACCACACACCTGGTGCTTCTGTCGCCTCTTCCTCTCTTGTTCAATCTTCTGCTGCTTTTCGAGCTTCTCTGTAATCCTGGCCTCCCTCAGTGATTGATGCTTCTGACGTTTGTAGGCGTTCAAGTTGAGAGCCGTCTGGAGTGTGGTGTCGCGTCGCATGCACTGGACCACCTCCTTCCTCAACTGCACACACGCAGTCACGAATGGATGAATTGCAAAGTAATGAATGAATGAATGAATGAGAATGAACTTCAAAAAACCAACAATCATAAGAGAACGACCAAGTATTTATCTGAAGCAACCGACCAACCAATCAAGTGACCAACCAACCAGTCAACCAACCAATCAACTGACCAACCAACCAGTCAACCAACCGACCAACCAACCAACCAGTCAATCAACTGACCAACCAACCAGTCAACCAACCGACCGACCAACCAACCAACCAATCAACTGACCAACCAACCAGTCAATTAACCGACCAACCAACCGACCAATCAACCAAACAACCAATCAACCAACCAGCCAGCCAACCTGCTTCTGAAAATTCAGCAACCTAAGCGCCCTCAGTTCGATCATTGCCTTCACCCTCAATTCATCTGACATGATGGTTGGCATGTTCTCAAGTTCATCAATGCGTGCAACAATCCTATTGGCCATTCTGTTAACCAATCAAGATGAAGGATTATTGTGGATGAGCAAAACGGAATAAAGATATAAATAACATGAACATCGACTTCAATAACATCTTCAACATCGACATTACCACCACCAACAATTTTCCGCCAGCAATTTCTAATAATAATACAATTAATTTTGATAATATTAAAACTAACCACGTTAATAATAGTCCTACTAAGAGTAATAATAATTGTAACAATAAAAATAATACTAACAATGGTGCCAATAATAATAACAATAATAATAATAATAATAACAACAATATTAACGATAATACGATCTTAACTAACTCTATTGACAATTTTTTGCAACATTGTTTTGATAAATTTTTTAAAATCATCAATTCAAGTTCAAGGTTCTGTCCTTCGACCATCTACCTTTATCATCAACGCTTCTCCTCTCAAAACTATTCATAGCTCTAATCAAATCATCAAATACGCTGACGACACCTACCTTATCATCCCATCATCTAACTCAAACACCATCCAATCAGAACTCGACTCATTAACTACATGGTCAAAACGATGCAACCTGCCACTTAATCTCAATAAATCATTCGAACTCATCATTCACAATAGCCGTAAAAAAATAACATTACCTCCTGGACACTCATCAATCACTCGCACAATAAAAAAAAAACAATAGCTAAATTACAACATAACGAATGAATTAAAACTCAAAGCGAGAGAACAAACAAATAAATAAAATAAAAATAATAATAAACCAACTAAAATTGATTGCAAAAATAAACCAACTGAGCTAAATTGAAAAATTTCATGATAAAACAACAACGAGAAATGCTGTGAAACTTTTCGACAATTATATATATACACACAAATAACTCATATACACACATATAATTCATATACACACATATAATTCATATACATACACACATATAATTCATATTCACATATAATTCATATACACACATATAATTCATATACACACACACATAATTCATATTCACATATAATCATATAATTCATATACACACATATAACTCATATACAAACACATATATAATTCATATACATACACACATATAGTTTAAATAAAAAATAGATAAATCTGTTTATCTATTTAACTAAGCTAAGTAGAACGGTGATAGAGGGGTGTGCTTGAAAAACAAAAAATACAACAGACCCTAGATTATTATTTTATGAGTTACTGAAGTTTTATTATTTAATGCCAATATTGAAATCCTTGGTTGCGAAGTCCTTGGCAAACTTTAGGCACCTGCTTTCTTTAACAATGCTAATTCTACTACCCGGTCATTAAAAAATAAAATAATGATTTGAGTTTGTTGGTAGACAGGAATTTTAGTTGGCAGCAACTTATTAAATTATGCGACTATCCAGTCCATCTCAAGAAACTGCAAATCCCAATTTCCTAAATCTACCACATTCCCCAATGACGAAAGTTATATCAACTCCTCAATAAGATAAACAAAACCATCACCAATGATAACAACAACGACAACAACAACCACAATGACAAACAGACCTGTTCTCTCTCTCCTGTAACATGATCAGGGGATCCAAGCCAACAGGTTTGGCAATGGGAGCAATTCTGTTGCCTCTCTGTTGCATGGCCACGGCTGCTTGCACCGATTGAATGGCAGGGGGAGGGACTTGCTGCTGCTGTTGCTGCTCTCGTTGTCCATCAAATTCATTCATCCCTACTTCTTGACTGCTATTGGCTGATGGTGGCTGAGCAAGCTGTTGTTGCTGAGGTACAATTGGTTGTTGTTGCTGCTGTTGTTGTTGCTGGGGCAGTTGCTGATTGGCAGGATGACCAGGTGGAAATGGGGGTCGAATTGTAGAATCTGAGATGTGTTGACAATGATGGCAATGATTAAAGTAACTGATGGTGATCATCTATGGTGGCTAGATGAATGTCATTACAAGCAGATGATCTTAAAACTCAACGTAATGTACTAATAGACGATTGGAAAATAAATTTCATCTCAATATCTTAACTTGTTCGACAAGATAATAAACCTATAATCTATAGCAAGTAAAAGCATTTGCTGCACAAAAAACTTAGGCTCAATGAAACTAGAATCTTATTTTAAATTGTTTTAGAAATTTTGAAAAAACAAAGAGTGTAAGCCTTAAGGTAATTGAAATTAATGCGGAACTTTAGCCAAGACGATGATGAACGAGGTTGAAATTAAGTTCACAATTTTATAATTAATTAATCTTTGAAAGATTCAGCAAAGAGTTTAAATTGACAAAAAAAAGATGTTGAACACGAAATTATAAATATTAAAATAAGAATCAAAATTTTAAAAAAATATAAATAATAATGAGAAATATCAATGTAATTAAAAAGTATGAACAAAGAAGTTGGTCCTCCCACCTCCTACGACTCCAGGCGGTCCAGCCACCATAGGACCACCAGTAGGCGGGCCAGCACCAACCACTCCAGATTTTCCTTCAAGGGCCATTCTGACATTGTCCGGAAGAGGTTGGTTCCGAGCGATGCACTTGTAGGCCATGATTTGAATCCTAAGAAGTTGGAGTTGTTGCGGGGTCATGACCACAGGTGGGGGATGATGTCGCATGGGGTCCATGGGGGGTCCACCTCCCATCATCATCGACGACACTCCGCCAGGATTCATAGCCAGGTTTTTAAATTCGAACGGCGGCTGCAATGAACCGAGTTGTAATCTTCTCGCCAATCAATTGGGCGATTTTTGTTAACAATTTCTATTTTTAATTTTATTGACTAACTTTTTGAATTACTGAAACACGAACGAAGATAATTATCAATTATTATGTAAAAGTGAAAAACAGCTTAAATAGAACAAAGAAAACAATTTTTTAAAACAACGAACCGAAAACATTTAATTTTTCGAATAAAATCAAATTTCAATGTTACATGATTCTATTCATAATTTAAATTTCTGGTTGACAAATTTTTTATTAAATAATTATTTTAAATAAAATAATTGCTGGTATTGGTAAAAATATTAGATTTAGCTGTTTCATACACCAAATCTCTTAGACCAGTTGAAACCGGTTAAACGGACTACAGATGTCTTAAATATTAAATATTAATATTCAATGATTGAACGGATTGAACCATATTTGGCATACAAGTGGCTTAAATATCTTATGAAATATTTTATATGGAGCAAAACAAGTTTAATTTTCAATTCTGTACAAAGAATTGTTTTGCTTTATAAAGTTCCATAAAGGAAAATGTCAAAATCATATATACCTACATGGTCAAAATATATTAAATGATTTGTGTGTGTCTGAGGGACATCTACTGAAGGAGGGCGACAATTGCCTCCACTTTAAGTTAAGGAAGGATTTCATTCCAAAAATCTGATCGAAACAATTTTTGTGGTTATCACTGAAACAAAGACCATTTGCAACTAATAACGTCAGCGGGTTCGTCATCACCTTTTTATTAATAATAGAACATTCCAAATGGACTACGAAATTGACCCAAGGGAAGAGTTTTGCCTTCAACATTCAATGGAAAATTAACGCCCTTGTGTTTGTTTCGCAAAAGATACATTTCAGATGAAAGCTTCTATGATAATTTATCTCATTTATTCTTGACTGAAAAGAGAAACATTTAGATGAGCTCAGATATAAAATAAACAGCTTGCAACGACGATATGCTGTTATCACTCTGGTACATTGGTGCTGTGATTGTTGCAGATGCCGAGGTTCTAAAAAAGTTGAACATGTTACACCTTGCAAGTTATTTGCTCTAATGTATATTTTAAATAATATACTTCTACAGCAGCTTGTAATATATTAACAAATTTTTTTTTTATTCAATATTGCTTCTAGTCTCTAATAGCAAGAAGGACAAAACGCTTTTTGTACAACTATTGTTTTTATTTCCTCCATGACTCAAGCGGTTAAACGATTCTACTACCACCAATCAAAACTACAACACACAACCTTCGTCAGCGCAAACATAACTATCAAGTCGTCACCCAATCTACATACCAGGAAAAGACCTTCATCGCAAGACACCTCAAACATATTAGCACTTAAAAAAACTTTATCATTACTGAACTAGTTTTTACTTATTGATCACCTCACTTTTACCGATCACCTCACTAACTCACTAAGTCATCATCTAGTCTATCAATTTGCCGTTACTTCATTTTATATTCCATCGTCAATTACTTTTCTTTTATTTTTCTTCTTCTTATTATTTATTTTATTCTAACATATTTTATTTTTCATGTTTTATCATTTTTCTTCCTCACCTTTTGCATTTATTTTCTCACTTATTTGTTTAATTTTGTTTTACTGCCTTGCATGTTGTTACAGTTTCTGCGTCTGTCAGATCCTGATTTTTAAAGAATAATAAAAAAAGGATGGAGATGTCCGGAAACTATTTAACTATTGAATGAAAACAAGTTGGTCAATGTATCAATGTACAAACCATGAAACCTGTTGTTTTTATTAAACGTCTATGAATTAGCTGAAACGCCTCTTAAATGCATCTTTTCAGCATTTGGTTCTTCAGTGAAATTTTATGGATTGGTTGGGGTTTCGACATCCAACCCACATGTCACCCATCCATGTCTGCGAGTAGTTTTTTAACTGATGTTACACTATCCTTACTTTGGATGCAGCCTGTAGGTACAGTAAATATTTTTCTAATTTTTTAATTTATAACGAATTTAATTTTTTAAATTATACTAAGACCACGTTTCAATTCAAAACATTAAATATTACGCAATTTCCAAATTTCGGCTTTTTGCAAACAATTTATTATAGATTAAAAATCAGAAGTTTTAATTTAAAATTTTTTCAAGGGCTATTTCAGGATAATTGTACGTACATCAATTTGGGGCAAAATACAAAATTAAAACTGACCTCAAGCGACGCGATCGTGGAAGATTCAGTAGATAACTTCAGAAAGCATTGCTACGAAAATGTAAGGCAATGGACTTAACTTATCTGGTCTGATCAAGCCATAGTCCAACTCTCTAGTTAGTAGTTTTGTCACTTGTTCAAACGAATTGTCTTCCAAAGATTACATTTTTTTTGCACTATGTTTTCATTGATAAACTGAACATTGACAATATTCGAATGCCACACATTTTCTGGTCCTTTTCTCTGGAACTCTCTACCTACTTCTCTAACTATTTCTCCATCACTTGCGAAGTTCAGAGCGGATCTCAAGACCTATCTGTTTTCAAAATTCATTGAGGAGCGCTGTTGAACATCGCGGAAATAGCGCTTTATAAGCTAATTGATTGATTGATGATTGATTGATTGACATACTAAAATTTCGATTGAGAGTTGATCCATGTGGTTGTCGGATTGAAATCCTAGCAACTAAAAGACTAATAAATAAAACACAACGAGCTAACGAAGTGATTTGTGCGGGCTTTATAAGAAACTGCGATAACCATTCTGATAGGTATTCGGGCTTCTGATGAGTCCCCGGTATGGACGAAACACGGGTCCAGCCTATCCAAACGAATACTCTTCTTTTCTTCTCCCGCTCACTGCTCTTCATGGTTCGGTGTTTTCTCAAACACAAACTCAGCCACAACATGGTTGACAATTGGGTTGAGTCTGGTCGATTTTGATCATTAGCTAGCTATGCAGCTTCGACGGTGATGTCTTGGTAACATTTTGTTATTAATTATAGATTTTAATTTAATTAATTGATGAATAAAAGATTTAAGTAGAACGATGAAATGATAGGACTGGCGCAAAAAAGCTAACAAATCTGTAATTACTAAGATGATGGTTGTTGGTTAAACTGACTTACAGAAAATGAATCAAATGATTTATTACAAAATGAAATATTTTTAATTATCAAATGTCTAATCAGCTAAAGTAATTATAAAATAATTCATTTAATTGTTATTTGAAACCATTTATTTGATATATTAATATCTATAAAAATAAAGTGTAATTTTCCTTTAAAGTACATTTATAATAAATAATAATGTGCGTCGAAACTATTCGCGGCTGAGAGTCGATCAAGGATGTTACGAGAGAAACAAGTTAGGAAGAGTTGCCAAAGGATGAACGCGAGGGAGGCCACGACAGCGCACGATTTGGATGAGGACTTCTTACTTGCTTCGGGTAAATTCAATACCATCGAGTCAGACATTCCGTAAGAATTATTTGCATAGCAACGATGTCTGTTTCTAATCATGGTCCTTGAATAATTCGTGAAATGTTTTGTGACCTTGTAGCTGGGCTTCTTTATGAACTGCGGGTAACGACTTTCGACTCCAGTGTGATCGACGAAGACAACGTCGATGGGGAACTTTCCTTTGACGACGCATGTTAAGCGTAGCGACTTTTCGATGATGGTTATGTAGGCGTCCACAACCGTCGCTGGTCCGCCCCATGCGCTCGCTGGCTTGTAATTGTACACTTTCGTCTGCAGTGGTTCAGGTAGTCCTTCTATTTCCAATTTAGGCAGGTCTTCCAGTATCTTCTCATCAATTTTTACGTTTGGACATTCTCTGATAATTATTATCTTTAATTTTCTGAATCTTCTAATGTGCCTCGTATCAATCAGCAGATTGTCGATGTTGTCGAAAACGATGCCTTTCAATAGTTTGCGCAAGTTTACCAACTTCAGACACTTGAAAACAATGTCGAAACTCAGATGTTGAAACGTTATTTTTAAATTTCTTTGGAAATTTTCCAAAAAATCGAAATTGTCGATGTCTTCTTTAAAAACGAAATGAATCAAATGAGTGAATTTCTGTTATGATTTGAAAAAATGAATGACAATTGATTAATTGTCAATAAATAAGTTTATCGTAGCAATTTTAATTTTGTCAGGAACCAAAATGACAAACCATGAAAAAATCCTCAGTGCACTTTTCAGGTACGTTTTCGGAAAGTTCAAAGGTTTTTATCTTGTCAAGCAGAGGTTCTGTAAATTTTGGATCGGCCCAAAAAAGTTTTCCTAGCGTGTTGTCATCATTTATTTCAATTTTTTCCAAAAATTCGACGTGTTGGAACAAATCAGTTGGAGCATCGTCAACAATTTCGCAGTCAACGATTGTCAAGGAATTCATGTGGAGGTTTTGGAAAAAAGTTGGTTTGATGCTTTCAATGTAAGCATTGAAGAACTGCAAAGATATGTTTGAACGCGACTTCAGCATTATCTTTGGCATCTCGTTGTTGAGTTCTTTGAAGAAACAGTTGGAATATGAGCAAGTGGAAGTCTCACAGACGCTGTCGCAGTACTCCAGATCAAAATCCCGTTTCTGTTTCAACGAGTCAACCATACCTAACAATCCATGAACAATTATCATTATCATCTGCGCTGATTCAAATGAATGATTTTTATCAATGGCTAAAAGATTGCAGAGCCAAATCATTGCAATATTTCTTTAAATTTCTGTCAAATAAGAACGATCCTGTAATGTTAATTTTTTTTAAAGAATTAAATGTATTTTTAAAAATTGGACTTAATATAAACTGAATGATAGATTGATTTCCATTGCATTAATTTTAAGTAGTATTTATGAATTTTTGAAAATTTAAGCATTTTAGAAAAATATCCAGTTATAGGGCTTTTAAATTATCGCAAAAATCAGAAGTTATAAGAAATTTAATTTACCCAAGAACCTATTATTATAGGTCTCTCAAAGCATGAAGAAACGGAGCAGGGTTTCAAAAAGCTTCAGTCCAACTCCATTTTTAAGGCCTCAATGACATAAGCATTGACGTCACTGTCTCCAGTGATGTACCCCAAAAGTTAAAAACTTGCTCAATTAGCTTTTAGATGTTTAAAATTGAAAATATATTATTATGAAAATAAGCATATATTTATTGCTGATTGAAGATTCAAAAATATTCGAGCCACAACTTGGTGCATCACATGTTCATCCTAAAATTTTATGTTAATTAACTAATTGTTTGTTTATTTATTTATTTCAAGTTATTTATGTTTACAGTTTATTTGTTTGTTAGTTTGTTTCTTCTTTAATTCAATCTTTTGTATTTTCAATTGATCGTGTAAACAAAAACAACACGCAAGATGACAAAGACGTAAAAAAAAGTTTGAAATTGAACTGGACCATGTATTACCTATTCTACATGTGTATTTATTTGGCGTATACGGATCATGTACGTGAGGTAATATATTGACGAATTAGCAAATTGGGTTTTTATTAAAATTTTTGCTTAACCGCTGGCGTGTCGAACCATGGACATAATGGATATAATAATATCATGTGTCGAACACCCACATCTGATATTTCCATTAGTTAACATTTTGGTTAGTTAACAACATCAGCTAACTTTTAACTCATTTAAATCAATCGTTCAATCAATCAATAAATCAAATTCTTTTATTCAATAATCTCAAATAATTTATGCAACAATAAATTACATAAATAGAAGAAAATTATAAGGTTGATCGAAAAAAAAAACAAAAAAGTTTATCTAGTCCGACCACCTTTTATCACTTTTATAATTGTTAGAAGAAATAGGTTATTAGTGAAAAGTTAAACCCAAAATGTATTTATATAAACATACACATACATATATACATATATTAATTAAATTATCAGTAGTAAACATATGCATATATATAAATACACTCATACATATACAAAACAGTTAAATTATTTAAATAATAGTTGAAATAAAGTATATACTCAGATTATTATAACTACCCATATACCTAACTAGAATCAGGAAGACCATAGTAGAGCGAGTTACAATAATAAATCCTAGATAAAACCAAAGAAGTAACAAGAAGAGACGAGTAGAATCGTCAATAAAAGGCAAAAGTATTTTTATTCTACACAGATGAAAAAAGAATTTCTAGCAACACTATTAATCTGAAAAGAAAGAAACTCGCTAGAAATAAAGATAAACCTTAGACCACGAAACTTTTGAGCTTGCCTGCTGCTTATATGTTTGTAATTTTATAAATTTTTTTAGGCTGTCTCGTCTACATAGAACATATCCAGTGTGTCATGTCACTGCTGCTTTTTCTTCTTGTAACAGAGTTTTATATGGGAAGAATACGATCACGAAAATCCAGCTATATCTTTGCGTTACATATATAACAAATGCATAACATGTATACCAACTTATACCTGTTATATATTTTATGTCAAAATGTAAAATTTATCAAACATTTTTTTGTATTTAGTGTTAAATTCAAGCCTAATTCAAAACAGACTTTTGCTTTCATTTTGTTGTCCAATGATGACAACTTCTTAAAATGTTTTTTATCTTTACAAATAGAAGTTCACATTTAGCACAATAGTGAAAATGAAATGGAGTTGTGAAAATTTCTGAGTCTATTTTTAAAGTTTATTCTTCTAAAGAGCGGATGACAAAATGACTGCACCACTTCATTTGCACGTTCTTGTGATATTTCTTCTCGCTAATTTTAATCCTTCATTTTGCTTGCAAGGATTTTTCGATAGTATTTTCAACTGGCCGAAATCAATTTTTAATTTTAAAACCTGCTTTAGAGAATGCTGTGGTGAATTGAAATTCAACGTATCAGGTGTGCACCACCGGTTCATGATTTCGTTTCAAATTTTTTTAAATAATTTTATCATCATACCTCAGTGCTTCACGCCATGGCGACATCTTACTGTTCTACATTTTCATTGGAGTTTTCACATGGTAGTAATAGGAATACAATAAGAATTATGTATTTAATATTTTAATAATAAATAATTAATATGATAATTATTTGTGTAGTATCCTACTAGTATTTAATAGTTGAATTTAACTCTTACTTACACAAACAAAACATTCCCTCTTTTCTTGTTGTAAAATGAAGAAGAGATGAAACCAAAAGGGAAATAAATATAAATTCGTTTTGTATGAGACATGAGTTAAACTGTTAAAATTAAATCACCAAAACACCTTTTTTTTAGATCATACCATAAAAGTAAATTAATATTAATAGCAGTAAGGGTAGTTTTTTAAAGCTAAATTCAGGATACAACTTGCAATATATGTGATATAAATGAAGAAAAGAATCCTTATAAATATACTATAAAAAGCAACCAATAGCTGTGAAATTGAACTGACTCATACTAACTAAATCACTTTAAAATAAACCTCCTTTAATTCTACATTCACATTGTAAATTTTACACTCAACTTAAGTTTGTTTTTGGGTTTAGAAAACAGCAGACTCAGCAATGTTGTCTACACACTGCTCAACAACAACACACTGCTCAAACAATTGAAGATACTGCTTACTTGCATTTAACTTTCATCTTACAATACATAGACAAAATATTTATAGATGGTTTCACATTTTTGAAAAATTTGTTTAATTTGTCAGATGTTCCAATTGGTTTAAAAAAATTTTTTATTTAACACGAAAAAGGCTTAATACACGATTTGACACAAGATCTTCACGGCCAGCACCTGGTCATAAAAAGTGTGGTCAGCATGTTGAAGGGCCACATGTACACTGACAATCCCTCGAAAGCTCTCGTTTTCAGCTTCCATGGCTGGAGCGGATCCGGGAAGAATTTTGTGAGTGAAATTATCGCAAGAAATCTATTTTTTGATGGGAGGAAATCAAGGAATGTAAAGTTGTTCGTGGCCAGTCATCATTTTCCACATGCCAGTGAAATTCATCAATATGAGGTCTGGTTGGTATTCATTCACAATTTATTAATAATTAAATGATTGATTGAATAATACATTCATTCCCCTTATTTGTTTCCCTGTTATTATTGTCTATTGTGTAGTCAATTAATAATTTCTATGGTAGCAATAGTAATCAGATAACTTTAAACTGTTCATCCATAATATTGTCATCAACTTTTCCAGGACATGATTAGGGAATCAGTGAGAATTCAAGTGAGCCAGTGCAAGAGGGCTCTCTTCATTTTCGATGAGATGGACAAGATGCCTGTGGGACTGATCGACACCATCAAACCCTACCTCGATCACCACCATGAGATTGATGGACTTGACTACAGGAAAGCCATCTTCATACTTTTAAGGTTTTTAGTTGTTATTACTCGATATTAATGTGTAACAGTGGATTGAATACATACATACATACATACATCAGTGATGTGGTACTTTTACTCGAGTATCAATTTCAAGTTCTTGCACTTGACATCCAAGTATTTGTACATCTAAGTACTCAGATTCATACTTTTCATTGTACTTGAAATTTTTCAAATTTTTCGAGTACATCGTGGATGTACTATTGTACATCACAAAGATTTACAAAATTATAGTTAACAATTTAATCATATCAATAAATTTCAATATGGTTTTTGAGATTTTGGCTATTTTTCCAAATACGGCTAGATCAAAATTGAGCCAGATTTTACATTTAAGCAGGAGTTTTTGTCATCTAAGCTTAAATATACACTCATGTATTCTACGTTGGCTAGATCAAAATTGAGCCAGATTTTACATTTAAGCAGGAGTTTTTGTCATCTAAGCTTAAATATACACTCATGTATTCTACTTGAAATTTTTCAAATTTTTCGAGTACATCGTGGATGTACTATTGTACATCACAAAGATTTACAAAATTATAGTTAACAATTTAATCATATCAATGAATTTCAATATGGTTTTTGAGATTTTGGCTATTTTTCCAAATACGGCTAGATCAAAATTGAGCCAGATTTTACATTTAAGCAGGAGTTTTTGTCATCTAAGCTTAAATATACACTCATGTATTCTACGTTGGCTAGATCAAAATTGAGCCAGATTTTACATTTAAGCAGGAGTTTTTGTCATCTAAGCTTAAATATACACTCATGTATTCTACGTTGGCCCATTGTACATTTGTTTGTCTACATGTGAACACGTTAGTAAGTGTTGTTTAATTAACGTATTGTATATGTGTGTGTGAAATGGTTAGAAGCGTGAAGAACTACAATTGTTCGGCTGGGATCATCTGATTGATGTGACTATCTTGATTATACCTTAATTACATTTGAATGACCAGACAGACGCCAACACTCAACATCAAGGGTATAGAGTAAGAAAGTTGTTTTTCAAAATATGTTAATATGTGGAGCGCGCGCGCGCGCGCGTGCACAATCGCACATGTTTTGATTAGGCGAGTACATTTTAATGTATGTCTGTTCTCACGTGTATGTTTGCATATGATAGTCATAGTATATACGAAAATTGAGTAAGAGGTATTAATTTAATTTCTATTAAATTTCAGTAAATTTATTGATAGGGGTGTAATTCAACAAGGTTTTGGTTTTATGCTTGATTTGAGATAAACTGTAGGTAAGCTAATGAAGCTTACAAATTGTAACAAAATGCACTGTGGCAGATCTTCCTTCGTTGCTACTATGGCTCTGGCCGAATTTGTTTTTCGTTAGTCCGACTCCGGAAAAATTAAATCCGGTACATCCCTAGTAATAATATACCTGATTGAATTTTTATTGACTTGAAACAGAAGTTATATATTTGTTTTGTTGTTTAGTGTTCTCTTTGTTGTTTGTTTTTCGCATTTGAGATAAAAGAACTTGAACTTGAACTATAGTACTTTTACTTGAGGCATAGGTACTTGTACTCGGAAAAAAGTATTTGAAAACATTCCATACATACATTCCTATATACATACATTTTGCTTTGCGCAGAGGCAATACCATATTGAAATTGCTAGTTATTGCTAGTTGAAATTAAACCCAATACATACATACATACATACATACATACATACATACATGCATGCATGCATGCATGCATACAATGTGAATTTTGAATTATAATTGGCGCTATATAAATGATGAACACCTGCGATCACAAAACCCCTCAAACTCAAAACCCGTGTCGCTACCATCCTGAGCCACTTAACTTTCGCCGCCTCCTTTTGTGATGCGTGTCCGTTCGAAAGTGGAAACAGCAGTTTGTGAACTGCCCCTCCACTCTGTGCGTCCAAGGGCAACAACACCTAAGGTTTTAGGGTACAGTCTTCATTTTTTCAAGTTCTCTTTCAAACCATTCTTGAATCTTTGAGCCACTTGCAAGAGGGGCTCCAGAAGCTAGTTGCCCGAAAAACACCCGTTTTGGACCTTTTGCAACCGGCATGCGAATAATGCGACTTGTCCAACGAGACTGGGCTTGCATCAGAAGACCTCAATACCCATGATGTCACTCATCTCCAATGCAGTCGTATTTGGCGCTCTGTTCTCCCAATTTAAATAAGCAACGACTTGGAGACATCTCTCGTGAAATTGATCGAGTCTGCGGATATGACGCCTGTAGACCGTCTGGGTTTTTCAACCATATAACAATGATGTCAGCACAACTACTTTGTAGGCTGATATTTTAGTAGCCAGCGTCACATCTCGTTCTTTCCAGAGGCTCTACTCACACCACCGACCATTACGGCGACGTTAGAATCCGATGAGATAGGATAGCTTTGGTGCAGGACCTCTGTTTTTTTATACTTTCCGTGAGTCCAAACTTCTCAGCTTCTGCCTAAATACGTACATACATAGAGACGGACATACATATACACATACAGACAGAATTTTTTATTCATGAAACATCCAAAGTTTTCAATTAAAAACTACAAAACTTTTCAAATTTACAAGGTTTTAGCAGCTATTGTTTACCATTCATAACCACCACTAAACGTCCTAAATATGTTTGTATAAAAGCCCACAAATGCCTACACCCACCCAGCAACACTGGTGGGAAGGTGATCAACGAGCTGACGTACGATCACTGGATGGCCTCACACGACCGAGAGAAGATAACCCTGCACAGCGTGCAGATGGCAATCTCTAAAAGTGCATTCAATGAAGTTAAAGGTGTCGTTTTGTGGTTGTGGTGGCGGTGATGATGGTGGTGACGGATGGATTGTCAACTTTTTTGTTTCAAAACACATCATCCTGCATGTGGCTGGGCGTCAGTGCACTCACACCCAGCACAAACTCGCACACTCCACAACACTAACAACTAACACACACACCACTCACACGTACTTACTGACTAACATACTTACACTCTCTCACACACGCTCTCACACACACACACGCACACACACGCAGGTGGTTTGTGGCACGGTCGACTGATAGAATCCAACCTCATCACCGCTTTCATCCCCTTCCTACCGTTGGAGCGGCACCACGTGAAGCTGTGCATCAGGGATGAGTTTAGGAGGAAGGGCAGAGAGGCAGACGAGAAGGTCATCAACCTGGTGGCCGATGAACTCCACTACTGGCCTGAGGTCTGTCTGGTGGTTGTGGTGGTGTTGTTGTTGGTGGTGGTGTACTATAGCATGTACTAGGTGGTGGTGGTGGTGGTGGTGGTGGTGGTGGTGGTGGTGTGGCTGGTGGCACGTTATAGTTTTTAATGAAATTATTGTCGGTTAAACGTTCAACTAGTTAATTTAATAATTGATCTTGTAATATTTAATTAATTTTTTAAATGACCAATTACATCTTAAGCTCAAACCAAGTTGGTAAATGATCAAACCACCTGACAATATCACTCTGAAACTTCACCATCACCACTCCACTCCACAACGTCACAGCTCCACTTCAAACCCTCACCACCACACCACACCACAGACTGTCCAGCTATATTCCATGTCCGGCTGCAAGAGAATTTCTGAGAGGGTGGGCATCTACATGCATGACGAGCTATGACAGTGACCAGGTGCATGTTTTGTAGACACTGTCCCAACTGGATGACCTTCTTGCGTGTAATTATTCCGTTCGTTCGTATCAATATGACCTACTTTTGCTGAATTGGGTCACTGCGTTGTGATTGGTTGACTCTGCCTGTCCCTCGCGCCAACACTCCGGATGACCTAAATTTTTTTCTGGTCTCTTTGTATTTGTTTCTTTTTTCTGTTTTGCTGTACTTAATTTTTTTAATTCTTTTCTTTCTGTCTGTTAATGGAAATTTGTTTTTGATGTGTGGTGAGTATGTGATGGATGTGCATTGTGGATGTGTGTGTGTGGTGGATGTGTGTGTGGTGGATGTGTGTGGTGGTGGATGGATGTTTGTGTTGGATGTGTGTGGTGGTGGATGGGTGGGTGGCGTGGATGTGTGTGGTGGTGGATGGGTGGGTGGCGTGGATGTGTGTGGTGGTGGATGGGTGGGTGGCGTGGATGTGTGTGTGTGTGGTGTGAATGGGTGGTTCTTGGGGGCAGATGTTATTTTGGTATTTCCTGGTAATTTATTTTTAAGAGAATTTTAAATGTTTTGTGCCACCAAACTTTTAACATTTTGTTGTTTGTTGTATATATCTAACGCATGTGTAAATAAATAATATGTGTGTTTGTGCGTGTGTGTGTTTGTGTGCGTGTATCTGCATAAATAGATCTAGATGTTTTTTTATACATAAGCTCGTCTTTCATGATTATTATCGAGTAGGAATTTTTTTTCAGTTGGTTGTAGTTAGCGACTGTGAAGATTGAGGTTGTCTCTCATTTATGAGTGGATGATTCACCAAGCGCAGAACTTTTACTCATCCATTTATTATACGTTGTTTCCAATCAATCAATCGATCGATCAATCAATCAATCGATCATTTATTCATTCATTCAGTTCGCCAGATTTATTTTTAAAGTTTGGATTCTCGTAGAGAATGTTTAAAGGTATTTCTAATTTACATTTTTTGTTTAATTTATGTTTTTGTATACTTTAAACAGATTTTTATATCAAATTTTTCGCAAAAAATCAACTATCTACGGTTAGTTGCATGGATGTTTGGTATAAGAATTGAACTTTAGTACTTGAGGTTGAACGTTTGGCCAGGGTCGTTTGGGTCATCAAGTTCTACCTTTAGACCCTGCGAGTCACACGTGTTAATTCCCTGTCCAAATTGCAATAAATGCGTTTCTCTCGCTTCCTGTAAGGTCAAATGAACACAAAAGAGCAGCCACTTCTTGTCCCATGCGTTGAAACTCCATCAATCTATCAATCAATTAGCTTATAAAGCGCTATTTCCGCGTTGACTGTGCGTTAATTAACAAATTTTCTAACTAATTTGTTTAAGTTTTTAATTAATTTATTAGTTTGCTATTTTTAATTGATATAGTCAGTTTTCTTATTTATTTTCCTATCGAAAAGTAAGGTATGCTGGGCAATTTTTTAAAAGTTACTTAAAAGTTGCGTTCGTCAACCTAGGAGCTAGTTGTAACGTATTTCTTGTCATCTCGTCTGCTGGTCGAAAGGTGGAATGTTTTATTTTATATTTTTGTTTAAGAAATTTCAGTTGACGTGTCTTGTTGAAAGTAATTTTAAAATGTTGTAGAATTCATTATTTAACTTTCTATTAAAATAAAGTGAAATTTCTTTACACCTCCGTAAATTTAATAACGATTCAGGTAGTTTATTAATTTGGTAATTAATTTAAATAGTTAATTGGGGTCTTTAATTGATTTTGTTGAGTTGTAGGACGTCAATACCATGAATCCATTTTGATTTTAAGTCCGTTGTACTTCATGTAAATAATTTTTTAAAGTCAAAACGTGTGACGTTCATCATCGTTGTCTGATGTTCATTTAAATTGACATCACCTGTCTGATGTTCGTCGTCGTCATCATAATTGTCATCAGATTTTGATTGACACCATCCAGTGTTCATCCTCATCATCGTGTGAGGTTAAAAAGAATTGAAATAATAACCTACTCATCAATTTTCTCGTGTTTTGTTTATCAGACTTTGAAAAGTCTGAAAAAGGCGCAGAGTTTACGCAGTCGACAGGATTTGAACCTGTGCGGGCAGAGCCCAATAGATTTCTAGTCTATCGCCTTAACCACTCGGCCACGACTGCTAAAGTATGCGCTCGCAATATATAAGTGGAATGAAATTTATTAAAAAAATTTTCAACTTTTAAAATTTTTTTATTTAAAATTTTTATATTACAGACAAAATAAATTTATAAATAAAAAAACTACAAATGTAGTTAAAATTAGAATATTAGGATAACTTTTTTATGAATTAAAAAGTACATCCCTAAAATTACAAATAACGATCACAACGTCAGGTTCCGGTATCTTTCCTTTTTATTCTTTATTTTGTTCAGCCTGGTTAGTTTGACCCTTGTTCCTAATTCGATCTTGTTAATCTTCGTTCATTTCGTTGAATTTTTAAATTTATATAGCAAAAAACATCTAAACAATTTTTCAGATTTATTAATATTGATTTATTTTTTTTTATCTCGCAGATAAAGTTGTAAAATGCGAGCTAAGGTAAACATTAATTTTAAGTTACGTCGTTTGAATTTTAAAATTAAAGTTACTTTGATTTTGTAACAATTCATTAGTTAGTTTCTCATTTATACATCAAATGCAAACATTGCAATTTATATATAGTAAAAATTAAAATAATTTTTCAACTTTGCAGTGGAGAAAGAAGCGTATGAGGAGGTTGAAGAGAAAGAGACGAAAGATGAGGGCCAGGTTGGTAACTATTGCCTAACTAACTTTGATTTTTTCGACTTTCAATGTATCGCTTGTTAAATGTTTAGCGGTTTGTTTTTTAGGCCTTGTGCTATGAGTGCCAAAAGTTTAAAATAAAAATTAGCAAAATGAGATGTGGCAATCTATTTCACAACAGTCGTCGATGTATTAAGCAAGTAATCTAGTAAGGTTTAATAATTTATTTATTTCTTTATATTTCGTTTTGGGTCAGACTGATTGGCTGAGTGGCTTGTTTGCAATAAAATCATGACCAGATGGCAATTTCATGTTGGCTCAGGAGAAAGCTAGTAAATGTTCATAAACAGATGTTCAGGTTTAAGTTATTTTGAAAAAATGAAAAGTATAATGGTCAAATAGGTTGGCTTGTGTTTCCCGACTTTTAATAATTGTTTTATGTTGACTGATCATCAGTGTTGGGTAAACCCAGAGACTGCAAACTGGTTTTTCCAGTAATGTTTATGTCAACAGTTTAAAGAGACTCATAAGCTCCTCCCACAGTGCAACTAATACTTGAACAAGATACAGCTTACTTGTTCATTGCTTTGCGACTGTATAATGTACATTGAAAAAGAAAATTAAATTTTTGGGTAATTTTTTACAAATGTTATTGAATATTTAAAAATGCTAAGTGCTCGACAATGCAATCCACTCTTTTGGATCAAAATATAACCTAAATTTAAATGCTTGACTCCCGTTATGAGAAATGTCATAGCCCAGTTTCTTATTCTACGTCAACTAATAGTTTAAATAGATCTTTCCGCAAATTGTGAAGTAAAAATTAAAGGAAAAACGGGTTTTTGAAGAAATTATTTTTTTAAATGTTATTGAATTTAAAATTGAAAAACATGAATGTAAAATGTTTGCCAAAAAAGAATAATTCATACGACATAATATGTACAGATGAGCTCAAGGGCTCTTTGGGCAAAAGTTTATATTTAGAACTACGACGTATGTCTATATTCACTATCTCTAATAGAGATGAAAATAAGCCCCTACTGAAATTTGTACGCATTACACGTATTTATTATAATTTGTATGTATATTACACGTTATTTGTACGTATATTATAATTTGCACGTATAATTTAGGCATATAACAAAATTTTTTGGATAGCATATAAAATAAACGAAAAAATGAGGAAATTTTGATTATACCAAGTAAAAAAAATGCAAAAGTTAGTATATAAAACTGTTTAAAACACTGGGCAACATATAATCAATATAAAATTAAAAATAATTAATTAGTAATAATTCAAATAATTTAACAAATATTGTGTTTTTGGCGTATGAGCCTAATAATATTACTGAACGATTGTTTGCTTAACCGTTTGCACCACATAAATTCTGCCATGTAAGTGTGCCTCAGGCTCTTTGACTTTCCGTACATTACTTTGAATTTGGCTTTCAATCGTGCCCACGTGGATTCAACGTGCTCCTGTCATTGCGTCAACAAAATTTTGGGAGTGGTTGACTGTCAAATGAGTCTAGCCCATATTTCTCAGCTGGCTATAGGCACGCCACTCATCTGACACGTTGGTTGTGCCAGGAGCAATCCACTTTTATATCAACGGCACATGGATTCAACGTTTTGTATGTGTGCTCCTGTCATTGAGTCAACAAAATTTTGGGAGTGGTTGACTGTCAAATGAGTGTAGCCCATATTTCTCAGCTGGCTATAGGCACGCTACTCATCTGACACGTTGGTTGTGCCAGGAGCAATCCACTTTTATATCAACGGCAACAACGTTTGTGAATCCCGGGCCACGACTTCTTCCGCAAAACAAAGCTATGTACCACATTGGATTCTTCCAAAAATGAGGAAATTATACCAAGTAAAAAAAATTGCAAAAGTTAGTATATAAAACTGTTTAAAACACTGGGCAACATATAATCAATATAAAATTAAAAATAATTAATTAGTAATAATTCAAATAATTTAACAAATATTGTGTTTTTGGCGTATGAGCCTAATAATATTACTGAACGGTTGTTTGCTTAACCGTTTGCACCACATAAATTCTGCCATGTAAGTGTGCCTCAGGCTCTTTGACTTTCTGTACATTACTTTGAATTTGGCTTTCAATCGTGCCCACATGGATTCAACGTGCTCCTGTCATTGCGTCAACAAAATTTTGGGAGTGGTTGACTGTCAAATGAGTCTAGCCCATATTTCTCAGCTGGCTATAGGCACGCCACTCATCTGACACGTTGGTTGTGCCAGGAGCAATCCACTTTTATATCAACGGCACATGGATTCAACGTTTTGTATGTGTGCTCCTGTCATTGAGTCAACAAAATTTTGGGAGTGGTTGACTGTCAAATGAGTGTAGCCCATATTTCTCAGCTGGCTATAGGCACGCCACTCATCTGACACGATGGTTATGCCAGGAGCAATCCACTTTTATATCAACGGCAACAACGTTTGTGAATCCCGGGCCACGACTTCTTCCGCAAAACAAAGCTATGTACCACATTGGATTCTTCCAAAAATCCAACCTTCATTGGCACCCACATTTTTCCCCATCTGATATTTGGCCTTCATTAACCCTCTACTGCATGAATTAAAAAAAATGTGTTTCAATTA